GTTCAACATTATTAGAAGGTAAATCCATAATTTCCTTCTATAAACTTCTCCTTTCAACTCTAGAACAAGAAGCATACACAAAAGAAGCAACACATGAAAATTGAAAAAATTGATACCAAATTTTGTTGGTATAGTTACTAAAGAGCAATCAAACCCAAGTTTAGTATGAATGGAAATAATCTTGGAAGCCAAAATCAAAGGTTTAAGTAAAATCAAAACATTAATATTATAAATTCTACATAAGTTTAACCATTGGCAAAAGAATTATGAGAAGCTCGTGCAACTCTAGAAGAATGACCTTTAAAGAGTTTGATATTTTTATATTTCTTCTTCCCCACTTTTGTATAAACCTCATCCATATTATTGCCATTAGGAGGAGTAGAAAACATAGAGACATCATTCATTCCTATAGATATTCCTAATAAAGAAACCACTTTGTTAGGAGCAATTTCCCCTTCCTCCATTTACATGGTCCTCTTTATCTCATTCTTTAGTCTCCACTTGTTCTTCATTGCTTACATTTAAAGTACATTGATTATGCATCTCATCTCCATCACCACTAACATTGAAGAATCAACATTTCCATTCCCATTTTGGACTGAATCCTTCAAAGGCAATCTTCTAGAATAAAAAATTTCCTCTTCTATGTCATGACCAACCAATCAATCCTTAGGAGCCACCGAGTGAGTTTCCTTTAAAGAATGATTTCAATTATTAGTTTCCTCCTCATTATTAAGAATCTCTATAGGTATTGTAACCATGTTGTCTTGATCAGCCATTTCCAAAGGGATATGAGACTGATTGTCAACAATATCATTCAAAATTACCCATGATTTTCCCTTATTTGCTCCCTTTTTTAAATTTGGGTGAGCCACAAAACATTCATTGAAAGAATGACCATGAACTTTATAATGAGAGAATAAATCTAGTATTTTTTTCAAAATCCACCTTTTACAAATAACATTAACTTTATGATCCAAGCCATACTTTATGCCAGTGTTTTTTGGTTATGTCCAATTCAACTAAAATCTGGGCAACATATGGCCGAGATCATGAAGCAGTGGCCTAATCAGATTGAAGATGACTTCTAAATATGGGTCCCAAAGCGTGAAGAACATGCAGATAAAAGAAATGCAATCTCAAATGAAAGAAATCTAAATAGGAATGATAATAGATTCCACTTTAATATCTAAGTAAGGAGTCCACTTTAAAAGCCTCATTTGACAATTATTAATGTAATAAGATCATCTCACAAAAACCTGTCTATATTCCAAGTCATTCAATAGTTGGATAACAACAATCCTAGCATCAAATAAACCAATAGAGAAAAAACCAGATAATTTTTTACTAAAAAAGACCTAATCGAGTCGAGATTCAGATGTTTTACCAAAAATTTCCCTACCAACGCAATCTGAAAGGGAGAAGCCAATTTTACTATATCATCCTTAGAAATAAAAAAAAGCTAGAAAACCTTTAACCAAATATTTAGTAAAAGAAAAGCTAGATTCTTTCGACTGGACACCACCTGCAAGAGCATTGCGAAAAGAGTTGGATTTAGGATTAGAATCATTACCAGCATCACCAAAGAAGCCTTTATTGCTAACAATTGAAGCTGTAGGCAGATTACCCTAAGGCGAGTGCTTAGATGAAGACAGACCAGCCTCCATGAGGAGAAAAAAAAAAAAACCAAAGATCAAAAAGCATTAGCTCATGAAAATGCAATATACCCTTGCACAACCAAAGCATCATCTAAAATCACCAAAATCAATAGGAACATAACCAAGCTACAATAAGAAAAACTTTATCGCCAGAGCACAATAGCGGAGTGGAGAGAGAATATAAACATTAAAATGATATGAAAGGTGATTGGCTAAATATTCTTTCTTAACAAAGAGTTTTCTATATAACTGATCATCTAGTATGATTTAAATTGTACTATATGATTAGTTCAAAAATTCATTTTTTGTCCTTACTCACTAACTCACCCCCTTGAGTGTGTGTGTAAGATTACTTTGCTCAGGGTCCAACAGATACATGAATTTACTCAAGAAAGGTAAAAAGTACATTGAAATTGAAGTAATAGACAAACTAAACCCTAGTCTACCCGATCTTAAGCTGATTTGCATTGCAAGTGAATTTGTGGACCTGAAAGGTTAGTAAGCAGAGCAAATACAAAAGATATGCAATAGTAGCAGTAGTAAAGAAACAATAATGTTTGTAATTATTCATAGTACATGGGCCCATATTTGCAACACCATGGTTTCCTTCAACAGAAGATCAAAGAGGAAGGGAACATAATTGAAGCGAGATCTTCCAAATGTCAAGCCTTCTAATTTATGCTAAGCATTAAAGTATAACATCCAAAAAAATAGAGAAGATGAAAAGCTTCTAAAATGAATTTGGAGGAAGAACAATGATGTTTCTCATGATAATGGGGGTTACCACGAGCTTCTCTTTAGTGCTAGTGAATTCCTTTTTTGCTCGATTTGTGCAAGTTTATTTATGCATAACATCAGCTACATCGGGGATTTTTTAATAAATTATGATTTTACTTTAATTTACACTATGCCCAATCAAGTAATAAAAAGTAAAAAAAAAAAAAAAATGCATTCCTTTTACATTCCATTTCTTTTTCCTCCAACCAAATAGGTGCTTAATGTAAAGTAAACATAGGGGCTATTTAGTTAAAATATGAAGTGGTGTAAATTATTTTAAATATAGATGTTTTGAAAAATTTTTATGTTTGGATGTAATATAAACTGGAGTAAAATAAAATGAAGTAAATAGAGGGTCTATTTTGTTAAAATACAAAGTGGTGTAAATTATTTTAAATTTATTTATTTTTTAAAATTGTATTATTTATAGTTGATTTTTGAAGTAAACCACCGGCCATCACTGCTGCTGGCCACCACGTCATTACCCGATGTTTCCACTAGTTGCTGGAACCACCCCCACTGCCACCTCCCTTACCAACCACCACCATTACCTCCACCTCCCTCATGAAATCATGGGAATTGCAAGCTCCCTCCATCATTCATCCCCAAAAAATCCAACCCTCGTGAAATCCTATCATGCTCATCATTCTCTCTCGTGAAATTGGGTGTGTGATCCATCATTCAATCTCGTTCATTCCTTTCTTTGCTTTCTCTCTCTTGAAATCTAGCCGAGAAATGAGAAATTCTTCCAATAACACTTTAGTAACCTTGATCTTTTGGTCCAAAAATTTTACAATATGGTATTAGCTTGCGAATCTACAATATTTTTATTCTTTATTTTTAATTTTCAGCAGGATAAAGGATAAATAATGCTCAAATCATGCATCCATACAACCCCATATCCCAGCTTTTGAAATACCCTCATCTTTCTACCCTAAATACAAAATCTAGAAACCCTAGATGATGGAGAAGGGATAAAGTTGCTAAAGTTGAAAATTTTTATATTGTTTTTTTATTGTCATGCTTTATATTATAAATGTGTTATGCATGGAATGAACTTCTCTTTACCATAATATTTTAACATGGGTTTGTACAAACATGATGCGCTCATCCATCAACTCTTTTTTTTTTAATGTAATCAATTATAGAATTTATGTCCAAATGATGGAGTTTTGTGTATGGAAGATAGTTTTTATAAAGGTGTCTCTTGTGAAAAATTAATTTAGAATTATCAAAGAAGTTTAAAATTGAATCTAATGTTTTTGCAGGAAAGATTCTTTGATTATATAGAATAGAAGAGAGTTAGTTCATTTATGATGAGTTTAATGGGATGATCATGGGGTTTGGATTGCAGGTGATCATATTCACTTGATCTGCAACTTTGAAGGAGCAAGAAAGACTGACCTTTCTTTCAAAGTTTTATTTGGTTCGGTCGACCGAATGAGAGAAACATTCGGTCGCAGGAAAAATCATGCTGTACCGAGGTGTACCGAGTTTTTCGAAAAAAACTCGGTACAACTTGGTATAGCGGGATTTTGCCTGCGACCGGATGTTTCTCTGCATTCGGTCGGAGGAGAATTATCACATTTCAGTTTCCCATCTAGGCTCTCCTACATTAGATTTCATGTAAAAAAGAGTAGAACGAGCTTTTAGTGTGTCTCTTTTGCTGGTTAACAAATTGCTGGACTAAACCTGCCGTACTGATTCGACAAAAACTGATTTTTGGCTTAGATCTATCTTGTGAAAGTTGATGTGTTTAGATGATGTGATTCTTAGATTCTATTTTACTCAATGTGTTATAAGTTTAAAATTTTTCAGGCAGGCTATTTTATTTTTGGTTTTAATCTAAGTTTTAAAAATGTATATCATTTTAATTGAATATTCTTATTTATTAATATTATTGTGGCTTCTTGTAAGTAAAAGCAATACATGTGTACTATTTGGAGCAATATATTTCAATGTTTAAAATGATTCCCATGCTAGTGGGATCTATCATCTTTCATTTTTATTTTCTTATAGCTAAATATTGAATAAAGATTATAAGTGGTAAAATTTTTACTGAATGAATATCAGCGACTTGTTTGATAGAGAATTGAATAAATTGAAAAGTTTATTTCGATATTTTGGATGCTACTAATACAAATACAATAGTTGATTGTTAATTGGTTTCTCTTTATATGGTTTAATACATATAACAATTTTTATTGATTTAGTTTCCAAGTAAATAAATATTTTAATTACTGAATTATGTATTTTTTCTATTTTGTTATTTTAATGACAAGATCCTTTTGGAAACTTATAGTTCATGCAACTTAATTATGTGTTTACAATTTAAATTGGAGAATTTTTTTATTAATCATTCAAAAAGTTGGCTACAAAATGCTTTTGGAAACTTAGAGTTCACTATTGGTAGCTACAAAGATGGAAGAACAATTGCAAGATTATGAAGATCAATTATCCTCAAATGACTTAGACATTAATGATCCTCCAACAGCAGCATCAATTATATCTATAAGCGATCCTACTAATCCATTATAAAATGTTTAAATAATCAACTAATCAGGTAAATCATGATGAAAGTATTTTCTAAGCATTTCCTTTAATCTTTCACAACTCTCTTGAATGAATTATCCTTCAAACTGTGTAAAAGAAGTTATTTCATTTCTATGTTTGACAGTTTTTAAAGTAGCAAGAAACTTATGACCCAACTCATTCCAAGTAGTTTTAGAGCCTAGGGGTAAAGAATTCAACCATATCTCGGCTTTATCTCTTACATAAAAGGGAAACAATGTAAGTCTAATATCAAGATCACTGACACCATTATACTTAAATATTACACAAATTTCTAAAAAAATTATCTAAATATATTGGGATCTTCTACACGAGTTCTCCTAAATTGAGAATTTTGAACCATTTGAATAATGACACATTTTTATTAAAAATTATTAGTTGGATTATAGGTATATTAATGCTATGGTGAATTCCTTCTACTGAAAGGTTTGTATAGTCCTTAAGAGGTATATAATGATTTTGGTCTAACATAGGTCCAGTCATTTTCAAAATCTTTTTTGTTTTTCAAATTTAAGAAATGATTCTTTTAATTTCAAGATCAATCGATAAATTTTTTTTCTATGGCTATAAAGTTTGTAACTAAAAATATACAATCCATAATCTTAGCAATGAAAAATAAAAGATATAAGTAGGTCTAGCTATGCAATTAATTCAATAATATAGTTAACATTTTCAAAAAGTGAAAGACTTCCCCTACAATGGCACCAAAAAGTTAATGGGGGTTTTACAGTGCATTTCTGATTTAAGAAAAATAGTTAAAGATATACCTCTCATAAATAATGCTTAGATTTTCTTTGATATATAAAAATAACAAACCTCACTTAATATACATACAAGTATACATGTTGAATCAATTAATAAAGTGATAGAGTAGCGTGTCAAAACCACAAAAAATTTTGTTGTACATTAATCAACTAGTACTATTTATTTTATTTTTAAAATTATCCTATTAAAATAAAAATGTTGGTTGTGGAGATTAAATCACTGAATAAAAAATAGTGAATACGATATTTAAATAAATTATTTTGGATTGATGAATATGAATTACATATCTTTCATAATATAATTCTTATTTGTAATGTAATTTAGGGCATATGCATTCCTAGATCTCTATCGAGCTTGTAGGGGTGAAAAAGATATATGCTAACCTCCTATAGTTATATCATCTCCTTAAGAACCTATCATATTTTACATCCTATTTCTATGTATGAAAATATACAATTACAATAATCCTGGTTGTTCTTGCACTACATAAGGGAAAGTTCATTAGGGATGTTAAGCTCTTATGAACTAACCCAAGGCTAACCAAGATGGGGGGGGGGGGGGGGGGGGGGGGGTGAATTGGTATTTTAAAAATTATTTCGATCAAAACACAATCACATAACTTCAACCAAAATCACCATAATAAAAATCAATGTACAAAAGAATAAATATGAAAAGCAGTAGTAAAAGGACACATAAATTTATAGTGGTTTGATCAACTCGACCTACGTCCACTCTCTGAAGGGGCCCTCCTAGTATTGCACTAAACACTGTGACTCTCCTTTTGCTCCCAAAGCAAGGCGAAGAAGCTGTTACAAAAAACTCATTTCCGCTGATGAGATTTTTTGCCATTATCTCTCTCCTGGTCCGATGCTTCAGAAACCAGATCTGCCCATGAGATTTTTTGCCTTTCATTATTTCCCTAGTTTAAATTTTGCTTCGCCTTGCCCTTTTCTTTCGTAGGAAGAATTTTTAAATTAGGGCCTGATTTTTCATATGTCCATGCTTCCTACATCGAAAGCAAAGGATATTTAATCAACTTTTGCTTATGCTTTGGTGAGCTTTGTGATTTTCTTGACAAGTCATTGCATTCGTCACCAACTAAGCTATCTCTTTCTATATCTTCAGCTTTTAGAACAATCGTTTCACTTGCATCCAAAAGTCTTTGACCCAAACTTTGCTCATAGGCAATGAGTGAGCCAATCAAATTATCAATAGAGTAATCATTCAAATCTTTTGATTCACAAATAGCAACAACTTTGGCATCAAATTTTTCAAGTAAACAGCTAAGAATTTTGTTAACTTTTTCAAAATTTGAAATTTTTTTTCCTAAGGCATGCAATGATGTTACAATTTGAATGAACCTGGTATACATGTCTAAGATCGTTTAAAAAGGTTTTATGAAAAATAGTTCAAAATTATGCATTAACATATTCAACTTGGATTGCTTGATTTCACTAGTGCCTTCGTATATGGTGTGTAGTTTATCCCAAACTTCCTTACCAGTAGTGCACGTGAATACTAACATAAAATCTTCAGAATTTAAAGCACAAAAAAGTAATAAAGATTTTGCATTCAATTAAGCATTTACTTGTTCTTCTTTATTCCATTGATTAAAAGGTATATCAGTTTTAACTCCATTAATAATACGTGACGGTGATGAATACTAAGTTAAAATCATATGCCACTTGCAAAAATCAATCGATTGCAAGAAAGTAGTCATGCGAGTTTTCCAAAAATCAAAAGTAATATTTTCAAATAAAGATGGTCTGGTGATTAAATATCCTTCCGCAATATTACGATTATAAAAGTTAGACATGGATCAAAAATTTAAAAGCTTTTAAAAACTTATTTTATGAATACTGGCTCTGATACCACTTGAAAGTGCTCCGATGACACTAAAAAGTGCTATGATACCACTTAAAAGTTTGTTAGGGATGTTAAGCCCTTATAAACTGACCCAAGGCTAAGAAAGAGAGAGGTGAATTGGATAACTTTAAAATTAAAGATAAAACTCAAACCAAAATCACCACAGAAATCAAGTGTGGAAGAAAATAATGCGGAAGAAATAATAAGAAAGAACACACCAGATTTATAGTGGTTCAGTCAAACCTTGACCTACGTCCACTCCTTGGAGGCACCCTCTAAGTATTGCACTAAAACCAGTGTCTCTCCTTTAGCCCCCACAGCTAAGCGGAGAAGCCCTTACAAAATCACTTCCACCTTCCCCAGTGCGACGGTGTCGCCGGGTCCATTGACACCAAAGAGATCTTCGTCTTTGGTGAACTTCACTCGAGACAAGCCTTGAATCCGATGGTATTCAGGTGCGAGCTCCGGCGATGGTATTCAGGTGCGAGCTTGCCGGAGCAACCGTGTGGAACCCCCTCCACACTCCCTTGAGTCCCCCCTCATAGGATCTTCTCCCTCTAGCAAACTCCACCCTTTCTTCTCTCCCTTTCAAGCTCTCTCTTCAAGTTTCCCCCAAAAGAATGAAGCTATAATGGCTGCCAAAGACACTTACAAAAGTGCCTTGACAAAGCTTAAATAGAAGCTCTCAAAATGAGCTCATTAATGAAAGTTGTCGACATTATCGTCCATGATGATAGGCATATCGTCCTGTATGATCAGTACAATTTAAGCCCAATCAGCCGGGATGATTTGAGATGAACAGAAGAAGTTTGTTCATGTCGTCCAGGATGATAATATATCGTCCTGGATAATCAGTACAAATTATGGAATATTATCCTCGACATCGCCCTGAAAAATAGCTATTTGATGACCAATCGTCCAGCATATCGGCCAGGACGATCTGGCGATCTTCCAGGCCGATTTGATCGTGAAATCAAGTCATAATTTCTTTCCTTAAATTCCATAGAAATTTTGGAAAAATTGACCTGGATCATCCTGGACGATATTTTAGTCCTGGAGGATCCACCTAGACGATGTCCAAAAATAGGTTATTACTAAATAGATATGGCAGCAAATTCTTTCTGTTTTGAGCCTATCGTCCTGGCCGAAACAAAATCGTCCAGGACGATGTGTTTTGCATAATGACGGCTGCTTTAATGAGGATTCCCTAATTAGGGTTTCTATTTTTGAATTGATCGTCCAGGCCGATATAAAATCGTCCCGGATGATGTTACCAATAATAGTAAACTCTAGGGAACAGTCATAAATATTTCAAGTTACAAAGCATCAGGAGCCACACCAAATATAATAGGCTCAAGAAAGGAAAAATGGTACAAACTGACTCAGACCTAGTCTACCCAATCTTGAGCTGGTTCCAAATTACAGTTTGATCGTGTGGACTTGAAATTTTAGTACAAAAGGCAATCGTAGAGAAATAAGAATGTTTGTTATCACCAAAATCATAAACCATAGACCCGCAACATTGTGGACCTGAAATGTTAGTAGGCAAGGCAGTTATAGAGAAATAAAAGTATTTGCTATCATCAAAATTATAATCCATAAAAATAGATTCGCAACAATCTCCCTCTTTTTTATGATGGGAAACATACATTTTAATTGAAACAGTTTAAAATAGTTTTTAAATGAGTAAGGAAACAAAAAATAGTTTAACTAATCAACATAACTTAACAAACTAGAATAAATTGGGATAAACTAAAACAACTACTCCCCCTTTTGACATCACAAAAAGGAGGAGGAAAGTAGAACAGAAACAAGATAGAAAACTAAACAACAGAAAAATAGAAACAAACTACAACAACAAAAAAATAAGGATTTTTGTTTTATTTTTTGTTATCAAGGCATGAGTATGACATAGTCTCCATGTGATTGGTTTTAAAAATTTATAAGTCAATGAGTTAACAATGTAAAAAAAATCTAAAAAAGTAGTAAAGTATCTGATCATGTTAACTCTTAGCTCGGACTCCTTTCAGGGCAAAACATTCTTTTGAAATCAAAAGACCTAACTCAGAAAAACCAATTGGATAAGAAAAAGAGATCAGTTCAATACTTGGTTTCAGAAAAATATCTTATAAAATAATGTATCAAAGTAATTTGTCACAATCGCAAAATTTGAAATCAAGCCTTTAAAAATTTCAAGTGATACATGAATTCTTCTAAGATTTAAAAGTTTGGAAAAGATAGGAGAGCTTTCTTTTGATGGGCTCATTTTATGCCTCTTGTCCATTGAATGATGCACTTTGTGTATTTTTTTTGATACACTTTATGTATATTTTTCAATTTTGGCGTCATTACGCATCTTTTGTTTTTGACATCATTGGCCTCTTTTTTTGGTAAACTATATTCTCTTTCAAAAGCTCTTAAATATTCTTAGTTGTGAGTATATCTTCTAGATATTAGAGAAGAAAAACTC